TGTCTAATTGTTACACTTTCGATATTAAACACCAGGCAAAATAAGAGACTCAAAAACTTCGATACCTGTAACATAAAAATTAACTCACAAGGATTTTCTTGCACCAGCTATTTTTCGACAAAAAAATTGTGGTCTCGAAATCTCAATCAATACAACGAATTTTATCAAAAACGATATATGGCTATTATTCAGTGCAGTGGCATAAATAAGACTATACTAATATTGTAAAGTAATAACAGTGAAACGGGCAGAGTGGGATTTAATCAAAACTGATAGATTGGGGGCACGAAAGTGCGAGTAAAATAGAGCAGAAGAATAAAGTAGAGATTTAAGCGGGTAGTGGTTTAGTAGAGTACACATAGAGCAGAGAGAGAGAGAGAGAGCGAGAGATAGAAAGAGAGAGTGAGAAAGAGAAAGAGAGAAAAAGCAAGGGCGATCGTGTGAGAGAAAACCTTGAATGAGCGTTGCGGCACTAGGAAACGTAAAAGATCGAAGAGTTTACAGGGACCAAATCTGAAAATCTTGCTGTACAGACCAAGTGCGAAAGACTGGCGTGCCGTGTTTGTGTGTGTACGAGTTTTAGTGTGCAAGTTTACGTAGACTCTCTGACGAGTGCACTGCCTGCGTTATGGTTCCGATTTACAGACTATTGACAAGTGCTGTAACTGTGACTGAGAGAGGAATGGTTGGATAAATACATACTCAACGTGTAATTACAATTAATAATATGTTGTTTATTAGCCAAGATGCAAACTTCTTTTTAAATAAGATTCGACAAAAAAGCGGAGAGATAGTAGACTATCGAGCAGAGACGTACAAGAGGGTTCCATTACAGTAATTTTTTCTGGACAGTTAGTGAAAGAGTGGAAGTAAAAATACACGTTATAGTTAGGCAAAAAAAATGTGGACTACTATAATTAGTAAAGAATAATATTCTTTAAAATTCATAATGCAAACGTTAATTAATATGATCCTGAAAATTTCCTATTTTTAAATATCATATGTATATGTGTTTCATACATAGAGTATAGTTTAAGTAGAACACGCAACTTGTCTATGAAATGCCATAAATTTATCGATTCTTACTTAAGAATGGTTGGTAAAAATTCAATCGTTTACTAGGAAGTTTCACATTTCAACGGCTTAGGCACATGAAATTTAGTTTAACACGGATAAAAACAAAAAAAACCGGATATGACTTCAGCTAGAATAGTATGATCTAAGAGTATATAAACTCTTTTATTCTAAACCTAAAAGCATAACGTACTGTCGTTTGATTAGTAAAAACTTTTAAAATCAGTCGTTAAAACAAGGTCAGTCGTAAATACTATTCTTGTTATGACTTTCATTTAAAGTCATTTCGTGATGAATTATGGTAAAATACGTATTTGAAATCATTTGACAAGCTAAATTTGTATTATTAGTCAAAAAAAAATTCGTTTAGCCATAATAAAACAAATTAAACTGATCAATTTTATACGTAAATCTTACTAATATGTAAAGCAAAGACGCACAAACTGTTGTAATCGTTCATCGTGAGAACTACTCAACCGATTTTGCTGAAATTTCGCATACTGATTCTTAACACTTCCTAGATGATTTTAGTATAATTTTTATCTTGAAAAAATTGTTAACAATAGCAATAAATAAGCTCAAAGTTTTGAAAAAATATGCTAGCTTTTCACTGTAGTTCAGAAGGAACCGCTAGGGGGCGTCAAGGTGAAATTGAACCCACCTGCAATCAAAGATAGTGAAGAGTAGTTATAATATACCCTTGCCAATTGTCGTTTACCGTAGTCGTTTCCTGGTAATGCGTGAAGCATAGAGCTGGGAGTCATGCAGCTAGGTACCCCCACTACTGTCGACACTGCTCTCTAATGGACAAGCGAGTTACGTCGAATTCCATCTCGAACCACAATCTGCTCTAGCAATTTGGAGTTTCGTGGCCATACTTTCAATCAACCTGGTGCTGCTACCAGAGCAGATTATGCGACAACAGCAAACCACGGAGAACAACCCTCAGCCACAAAATCCTCATCAGTGGTTCGCAGCAACAGCATGTCCAGCACGGTCTCCGTACACAGAGAGTGCGAGGATTAGAGTCAAGCTACCCGCAGCCGACTCTCTATCATCAAGAATAATATTAAGGAATGGCTGGAAGTATCACCACTGGCCCTTTTAGGGCCATCATAAGTATTTACGTTCCCTCCTTAAACATCAATCTCATTAGTTTTTTTAAGAGCCACCAAACGTTAAACTACTTTGCCAGCAAATACATTTTTACTTTTGTTTCCGGCAATATTTCGTAGACTAAGAAACTATATAAAGCTGGCTAATATAAAACTGTCAGTTATTCACTAGCAGACGTTATGAGTGGAGTTATTCGTCACAAGGCTGGAAACCCCGGCGACCAACAATCACACACACACACATCCACAAACACACACACACACCTGTTACCGTCCGGGGTATTGTAGTTAAAACCGGCTTTTTGGGGGAGCAGGCGGCTTTGAACAGAGATAGAGAGAGAGAGAAAAAAAAAGTTAAGGGTGGCCAGAGTCGTCTTCGAAAGTGTCGATCAGCAGTCGAGATCCAGCAGCAGTAAGCACTCTGTGCTAGAGACTCTAGGCGTGGAGGGGTAGTACACTTCTGCTGGAATTTCTTTTCATCACTGGAGTTGGTGCCGCTGGTAGGTAGTTAGGTGGTGATTTACGACAGTCAAGAAGAGCCAGTAAACAGTACACTTGTCTCTTTCTCTCGATTGTTAGACACTAGTTAGGCCGTAGAGCAAGTTGTCCCGATAATGGTTGATGAGAGCGGGTGAAAAAGAGATTCGACATACTGAGTATTATGTGGTAGTAAATGTTGATAATTTATTGAAGTCAATTAGTGCTCTAGCCACTGCCATAGCATAGGTTTCGTCAGATAAGCGAGAACGTAGCTTTGGCTTAAGACCAGGTGATTGTTGGTCGGAAGGATAATTTTAAGAAGTCGCGCAGCCCTTCTCATATACTATAAGGTAATTTCTTACTTGCACTATTCACCAGAAACTAGCAGTTGCCACTTAACGAGCAGAAGGTGATATTATGAATCCCAAAGTTTGAAATTGGAGCTGCGCGTGACATTTAAAAATCAAATTTTCGTAAAACAACTGAGTTTAAAGAATAATAATTATTTCAATAACTGATAATTAATTAAATAATATCCCAGATGGTAAAAAACCTCTCAACTCTAAGCATTCAACGATAAATCACATATCTTCTCCGAGGCCTGTGCCTGGCAAACCTAACCACTATGTAAGAAAAATAAATCTTAGCAAACAAAACAGTCTCCAACGGGTAAGTATCACAAACCAACCTTTTATCTTAGATCACCAAAATGACTGAGCTCTGCAAAAAAAGAAGGTGTTTTAGACATCAACGTCTCTGGCGTAACACCAAGATATGTTGGGAAAGAGCTCTACAGTTATCTCCGACGCTTCAGACGAAGTTTTTCTCCCGATAAGTCTGGTGATACAACAGTAGGTTAGAGAAGATCGCCCTGAGGTGTCTAGGCAGTCACGTTTGCTGGAAACTTCAGTCAAAAATAAGTTTACTTAAGAAACTCACCGGTCTTTTTTAGGGCCATCGGACGTCGAACTATCTTGCCAACAAATATATTACAACTTAATAAAGTTGACAAAAAACAGCTTCTCGAGTTCACAAAAGTTTTAACTATGCCAAAAGTCACAACAGGGTGAACCGGAAGAAAAACTTTAATTCATTGAGATGAAACAAAAGCATCAAAATCGACATATAAAGAATCCATTGAGTGAGAAATCAGCTTTCCATTAAAACCCTTACAGTAATCACTTAAATCTTCTAGATTTTCAAATGGGTAGAATAATAAATATGTATTTGTATTTATTGTGACAATAAAAAATGGAGACTAAGCTCAAGGACTTTTATGATTTGGTAATGTGGTTGAGAGATCGGAAAATTTTTTTTTTAGTTATAAGATTTTCGTCAGTTTTAAACTTTATAGTTTTAACAAATAGCCCTTTTCATTTGTTATTACTTGAGAATGTGCAAATCAATGGCACTTTAAGATCAACAATTATTTTATGGCGTAACGAATGCACAGGACTTTTTAGCAAAATTATGTTTTTTCACTCTGTACAGCTTATTGTTTGACCAAATAAACTACATGAATTCTGAATAAAAATGTTTTTAATAAGAAGTTTTTTTTCTAAGAAGTGTCAGGAATAGATGTTAAATTTTTAACTGAAAACGTTTTACGTTACGTGTCAATACACTACGGTGTTCAAAAACACATATTTAAAAACAGTAAAATATAGAAATAGCCGTTTTTGTACATTTTTATGAGAATTAGGTGATTTTCTGAGGAATAGATAAGTGTATTTAATTTTTTCATTACAGTACCCTAAAAGAAATTTGAAGGTTTAGTTGATAAATATTACACTAAATACAATGTTATAACCTAAGTTTAAAAATTTCACAGCATAATATATGGTGACACCTTATTTTTTTCTATTTGTCAACTATTTCTTATTTGTTTAATAATGTTTTAAACTATATTAGCTTTTTCCAAAAATCAGTTACATTTATTATTTTTTTAATTATTTCAATTAATTTTCACTTCTTCAAACAAGAAATAAGTAGGCACATAAAAAAACTTTTCTTGTATTTTAACTAGCGTTCGTATAATAGTTTAATTAGTCGGTTTGATACAAATTTGAGCATTTTTTGATTCTTTTTACTTAAAAAAAATTTTTTTTTATAAAAGTTACACTTAACCTTTTTTGTGACTCTATAAACATGCTCTAATTATTTATATTCTTAAGAGTATAACTACTATTGTAAGACTTACGGTTTTTTTAATTTATGTACATCACTCATCAATTAAAATTTAATTTTTTTTCTTTTCTGTTTGTTTAATTAAGAAGTTACCATACTCGATTTTAAAAGCATTTTTAGTTTTTATTTAAAAAAATTTTGTAATTTATTAAAAATTTTATTATCTAGAAGTTAAATTTTTGAGCAGTTATGCCAGTAAAATTAAAACATGTACATACTTGGATATATTTTTCTCTAAAAATAAGTGAAATAATATACATATATTTATATAGTATTATTGGGACATGAGATAAAAAATATACAAGAAAAAAAATCCCTAATAAATGATTAGTGAAAATGGAAAAGTTTTACAAAAATTAATGTGCAGCATTATTTCTTCTTCGTCTTTTTCTATTTACTCCTCCTGCAGGACGATTTGAAGCTTGTGCTGCCCACTGTTCGTAATAACGTTCCGCTTCTAACCATTCTTGATACTTATACCACCATTCTTCCCATTTGATATAATCATCAAGGGAAAGATCTCGAAGGTACCCTCTGGATTTATAATAATCATACCTGACCCGAACATCATCCCAACATTCTAGACCTCTTGGACCCTGTGTTAATAATGATTCCGGATAATGCCCAGGCGGTGGTGAATCATAACCTAATCTTGCTATTCTCTCATGACCTTCAATAACTACTTTCATCGTATTGTTGCCAACTTTTGTAATACGCATATTCTCCATATCTCGGCGATCAACGCTCCATTGAGCCATTTTTCCAAACCTGAAATTTCATATAAAGTATTACATAAACTGGTTGTGACGTATAAATAATAGTTTGAATATAAATAGTAGAATGCCTTAAATAACATCACAAAAGGCATGCATAGTTTAAATAATTTGCTTGTTATATAATTTAGGTTAAACAAATACTAAACTCAATCTTTACATACATTACTTATTTTTAAACCAACACATCAATGTGCTTGTCCCGACTTTTTAATGATATTTTTTAAGTTAATTTCTTAAATTAACTACTTGAATGTCAGGGCTCACACATTCGAAATATTTTTGTTAATAAATGGTTGGATCAAATTTGTAATCGTTCATCAAAAGTTATGAATACTTTATGTACTTTTAAAATTCTAATATTCAGCAAAAATTATGACCACTAGCATCTCCATGTTTTTGAATTTTGTTAGTTTTTTTAACCACATTATCAAAGTTTTTGCAAAATCTCATTAGCATATAAGTACTTCTATATTATTATACTATGCAGCTTTTTCTTTTGATGCCTAACCAATTATAACAAAATTTATCTAAGGAGAAATAAAAAGAAAGATATAATTTGTGTGCTTCTTTTATTAGATAACTATAATATCTCTCTTAAGCTTGACTGTTGTTACGTAATTGAGGATTCACTGATGCATTTAATAAAAAGAGTTGATTTTCCAGATTTACTTGTATTTCTAGGTTTATACATAAAAATGGTTCTGTAGAAGAACATTGAAAAAGACTCGTGGTAAAATAACTTACGTAAATCAATTAGAAAGAATACGTACTCCTATCTACTACTTTTATGTGGATGGATTATTTTAAATAATAAGCAATGTTTGTTTAACATTAACAAAACTGACACAAAACAAAGTGTTAAAATTAAGAGGTTAGCATAATAAAAGCTTATATGAAATTTATAAATATAGTTTTTTAGGTCATAAGTTACTCAAAGTACTTTATTTTTAACGCACAGTTTATCCAAAACTTTGTTAAAGTAAAAAATTAGGCTAAAAGATTACTTAATGATTAAGCTGACAATTTATCAGAGTAGTTATCGCAAGGTGATTTTAAACTAAGTTAATAAGTATACTCAAAAAAGTTTGTGATTCTAAGTACCCTATGAAAATTACCTTTAATTATTACTCATGGGGAGTTTCATAATATACATGCAATGTACTAGCATAAATTTGGACGTATGTGTGCATATATCTGTATGTAGTGACATGTATATATGCATACCCAATACTGTTTTTTAACTCACGTCTTTCACCATGAGTCTCAAATGACAAAAATCTCCTTACCCCCTCAAAGCTCACTAGCAAGTACTAAAGCAGCTTTGAGTGATTAAGAGTTACTGCACGGCTGCTCGAAAAGATTTACCCGGATCACCTAATCCTTAGCAATCGTTACTTACACACGGCAGTGTCCAGAGCCAGTAAAAATTTTTTTTAATATTACTGTACATCAATACTACAAACTCGCTGTGTAATCTCTTTCTTTTACCCGCTCTCATCTACTATTGTCTTACCGTGCCTACAGCCTCCAGTACAGTGTTTTTATCGTTGTTCGATCTTGTCAGTCAGTTCAACACCTCCGAAGGTGACTAAAGCCGCTCTTAACTCCTCCACCGCATTCAAAGCCACCCACCCCAAGAGGTTCCTTTTAAGAAACTGTTACTATGATCCAATAAAAAATAGAAAGAGTTTAAAATAATACAACTTCTGACATGCAAAGTCATGAAATCAATTTTAAAATGTCATTTTGTATTTTACGGTGGGATTCACCGTATAAAAACTTTAAGAAAATTTCAACTTCTCCAGTATAATGTTGACTATACTATAACTATACTTTTTTTACAAATCGTTACTTCTACAGAAAGTTATAATTGATAGAAACACAAAAAATGTCATGGTGTTATTAGTTCAATAAGGTAATATCGATCTTCCGAATTAAAATAAGTAGTCAGATAACTTAACCATGAAAAATAAAGTCCCCATTTTATAAATATATAAAAAGATTTAAAAAAGGTTCTAAATAAGCATTTCAATTCGAAATATAACAGATGGATATTTAATGTAGATACTCACTGAATTATTCTAATAATACAAGGTGTTTGACTGTACGGCTACTATCAAAAAACGTAACGTATGGTGAATTGAAGAAAATGCGGTAGCTTTATCATGTATACTGAAGGCATAACTTGCCATGCTCTATTCATTAATTTTGTGTCTTACCAGTATACTTATTTTCGTGTATAAAGCGCTACGAAACTTGTTCATCCCTTAAAGCTTCATTGAATAACCAGTGAGCATGTGTTAAATTTAGCAACACACTCATATTTAAATCTTTACTTTTTCTAATACAGTCCAGAAAACTATGTACTATTGAGTAGGAGTCATAAGCAGATTATAAGTTATGTATTTTGAAGATTATGTAGTTGGTAATGTGAGCTGTGAGTTAAAAAAAATAATTGGTAGTTTTTTTCACTTGTACTTATTCATGGTTACAACTATAAAATTTAATCATTAAAATAAGGAAAAGTATGTAGATAGGGTTATAAAAACATTATTACTTCCTGAAATATGAGGCAAATGTAAACAATATTACAAAATTAACAACACACTTTTATCAACTGTACTAGAATTATCGAGGTAAACGAGAAATATTCTTACGTATAAGGTAGTTAAATATTGTAATTTTAATAGTAAAAGTTTGTCAATGACAGCTTCTGCATACGTTAAGGTTTTAAGTATAAGTTAACAAAAAAATTAAAAAATAGATCCCGGCAAATTATGTCATTTGTATATAAAATAAGACTACTCTTACGTGGGAATTGTGGAGCTTGGGGATGTAAGGGGATTGAATACACGTGGAAGAAAGTGTGTGTCCGTTTATTAGTGTCTCAAAGCGAGAGCAGTCAGGTGCGAGGCGTTAGGTTCGGAGGCTGATCGGAGAGAGAAAGGGCGGGAGAGCTGATAACGCTCGGGCCCCCCGCCGAAAGGTGATCATCATACTCTGTATCCGCTGCTCATGCGCCGTGAGAGGTGAGTCTTGGGCGCGAAATTACAAAGGTTCGAGATACTGTACGTCACACGTCCGAGGCCTATCATTCGTTGGATATCTAAGTTCACTACCCTTAAGACACCGTGACGCATATTCACACGGTCTATCCTTACCTATCTCTCCCTGACTAAGGATTGCCCCGATGGCATAATCCGACGCGTCTGGTGTTACAATAAATGGTTTACTTAGGTCCGGTGCTGTTAATACAGGTTCCGAACATTATTTAATTTTTTTGTTTATTTATCTGTACACATCTTATGTATAACCATTTTTATTAAATCGTCGATCTTAATGATCATCGCGGATTGGTTATTAACTGAGCCGGTTGTCTTCTGCCTTATGATCCTACCCCCTCGCCTAGTAGCACTTGTACCTCTCGTGCGTTAACCATGGCCCTCAGGGTTGACAAGTCTTGTAGTACTGAGTTGGTGTTTCCACGGTTCCTCTCCCGTCCGCCTGTAATCTTTCTCAAACCTTTAAGTAGTATTGGACCCCCCATTTTAAAAATCCAAAAGATCCGGCTGCCACTCCTAGTGTTATTTCCGCTGCCACGATGCGTATTCCTTCCAATTTAAGAATTCCTCCTTTGTTTGTACTAACTCGTGTGCTTGTTGGAGTATATCCGCTAGCTTTGTACCTGTTTTTATCCTATCGTCAAGTCCATGCTCCTGGTTATCGAGTCGCTGTAGTCCGTCTCTTTTTATCACTGCTTCTATTAATTTGTATAACATACTTCCTTCAGTTCCCTTTCACTTTGTATTATATCCTGCAAGTTTAGATTTGCGCTTTCAAGCTTCATTATGCGATTTTCACCTTCCTCTTGTCCTGGATCTAGTCTTGTATCCGATGCTTGAGCTACACAGTCTCTTGCTAAGCTGACTACCCCACAATCCACCACCTTCAGTGTCTTGTGTTCGATGTGTTCACACTGTATGTGGACTTCGTCCTTTCTCGTGGTGGTAAAGGCATGTTGGTTTTTAGCATGGAGACGTGTCCAAAATGTGCCATTTAACTTGGCTAATATTATCGGACATTCTTCTGGTTTGTTCACTGCAATCCCCAATATGATATGTATTTCACAGGGGTAGAACTCTTCGAATTTCTGTGTTGGCTCCATTTGTGTGCATATTCGTGTTTTTCCTAGTCTTTTACATAGTCTTATTACCTCTTGCGGTATTGGCGTAAATCTTCTCTCACTAATACTGCTCGCTATGTATTCGTATGTTGGCTGCAAGGATGCCACTAAATCCGTAGTATTTAAGCCTTTTTGTTCCACTGGCAATGATAATATCCTAAGAAGGTCCAAATTTTCTTTCGAAACCAGTGGTATCCGTATGTAATATATTATTCTGCGGTTCAATGCCATGGTCGTTATTTCTGAGATTTCTCCAATTTCTTCTTCTGTAGTTATATTTTCCCTTACTGGAAACTGTAGATCTGGTTTCAGCTGCTCTGCCAAAATTTTTGCTTCCAATTCGCTCTTAATGTTGCATCTGGTATATGTGTCGTTGCCCGACTCGCCAAGTATATTATGTCCACCGTTATTCCAAATTTTGTTATACGTTTCTCGGCTAAGTGTTCCAATTCGCCCACCATTTCTGTAACTCTATCATAATTGCTGAGATATTCTGCAAACATTTTTAAACCTTCCTCCGTTATTCTCCCAGCTTTATCCTTAAACGCTTATATATCCTGAAGGTATCGTTCATGGTTTCCATATGTTATGACTCTTATTTGTTCCGTTAAGTACTTAGTTGTTTCCATTGTGTTAGTCGGGATCGCCTCTACTAGCTTTTGTATTTTCTCTTTTTTCACGTGAGTCACGACTCCCTGCAGCGCTTGCACCGTCTTGCTTTGATCATCGATCTTTTGGCCTACTACTGTTCTGTATGCCTCTTTAACCCTATCCAAGGCTCTTAAGACTTTTTCTGTCGTGTACTCTAA